ACTCGCATATTTTCGAAAACTTTTAACACTAACGCGGAATGGAAGCTGTAATCGCGAAACTTCGGACTGCGATAAACGAGAGATAACTTAATCCTTTGTCCGGAAGTCAAACTACGAAAGATCTCGAATCAGACCTCGAGAGCGCGACTAAATATGCTAGGAAGAATTTCGAGGATGGAGTTTCATTGTGGTGCGGTACCATTATAGAAAGCGTGGACACAAAGTTTGCCTTGCGACTGGGTGGAATGATTTTAAACCTGTTTGTTCCACCGTGTCAGTGGTGATTCTTGCACGTTGGCAACACTATTTTCCTCCATTTAAATGTATGTTTATCAATCGATTCTAAGTGAATCCTCGCATAGAATCGATATATTCAATGGATTTAAATGGAGTGTCAACAGTGTTGCCAACATGCTGGAATCGCCACCGCGTGTTACCGAAGAGAACAGTGTGTGCAAAAATGTTTAAAAAAAACCCAGAAAAAGCCAGAAAATGGACAAACGAAGGTCTGAACGGAAAATTCCATTCCTCGTAAAATTGACGACAATTTGTCACCTTTCGGCCAAAGTATTACAAGCGCCACACGGTGTGGCGATATGGGTAAAAGGTCGGACATGGGCGATTCCGGGATTGTGAATGTTTAGGACCGGAAATGTGTTCTACGAGTACTATATTATATGGATTTGATGATAGCTTTTAAATTTTCATCCCCCATGTTGATGGTACAGGCCTCTAAAGTCCGCTAAGTCGGCAATCTAAAATTTCCTCTAAAAACGCACCAATGTTTGTACATTCTTTAGCCTATTTTAAAATTTAATGAGACCTTTTCCAATGACGTAATCTTACTCTATGCAAGCTGCTGTTCATTTTTCACTACTAAAATGTAGCCGTAAATAGGTTTGAATACGATTTATGGCGTCTGAAAGTCCTCGCGCCCAAAATGCTGAAAATAAAACTTTATATTAACTTTCGTTCCAAGTGCCAAGGAGTGCCACGCTGGGACTTGTTGGGGCAGACCCACAGGACTCCTGAGAAGCCTCCTAAACAATTTTTAGCTGCTAATATCTGCTACTCCGACGGCAGCATAATATTATCTGATATGACGTCGGTTGCGCGAAATCGGTTTTTATCACTCCGCGCAACCAATTGTTGATATTTCTCTAAGATCCATCACGCAGGTAAGTGGTCAAAGGTTAAAATAGGCTAAGTACGTGTAAAAAAAGTTACTGGATGCAGCAGTAGTAGTGTAATTTATTTACTTCTATGTATAGGATATTTCAGAAATTTAAATTGTTTCTGTTATTTATCATACTAATAATGAATGGTAAAGAAGTTAGAACTATGTTATTATAAGTTTAAATAATGTGACTACTACTCGCGCTGGTTGTTATCCTCATGTTATAATAATTATAAACGCGGCAATTATAGAAATTTCGAATATCATGTAGAAAATCATTAAATTTCACCTGTAGAAAGTCAATATTAATAGAACTAATATTGTAAATATATACTTATTACAAATTTTAGTCTGACTAATTTTACCAGAAATTAAAAAAAAATATTCATATTGATAAATTAAGCTGGATGTAGCTAATTAGCTGGATATGGTAGTGGATGAAGTAGTCGAGAGCTAACGTTTCGTTTGGTCATGAAGGGCAAATAGATATGTTGTTTAAAATCTCGTTTCTTCTATTTTATTCAATTTTTTTTGTTCCTATATTAACAGCAGTATTAAGATATACAAATATGAATACGTACAATGCTGCTCATAAAGCCAGGTGGAAAGAGAAAAGGATGGCTGCAAATATTTTAAGAAGTGTCGAACGTTTAAATTATAGAAATGCATTCATTTGCGAGATGGAAATCAATGTTTTTAGTACTTTTCAGGAACAACTTATGTAAATAGCAATTTTCTCGGATATTCATCACTCAAATGGTAAAAATAAAGGCAGATTTGAAATCTACGACAAAAATTACCCTAGGATCACGCTCCTTGATTCAAAATGATGCGTTTTAAAGCCACAGTTTCGAGGTGGTTCAGGAAATCAATGTTTTTAGTCTTCTTCAGAAATAACTTGTGTAAATAGCAATTTTTCTCGGATTTTCATCACTCAAATGGTAAAAGTAAAGGCAGATTTGAAATCTACGACAAAAATTGCTCTGGAAATGTCCTCCTTACTTAAAAATGATGCGTTTTAAAACCGCAGTTTTCAGGTGGAAATCAATGTTTTAATATTTTTCAGAAACAACTTATGTAAATAGCTATTTTTCTCGGATTTTCATCACTCTAATGGTAGAAATAAGGGCAGATTTGAAATCTACGACAAAAATTGCTCTGGTATGGTCCTCCTTACTTAAAAATGATGCGTTTTAGGGCGACAGTTGACAACAAAACGCAAGTTGTCGAGCGCATGTCCGGGCAAACCGGCCTTTCGCCACACCGTGCGCCATGCGACGTTTCAACATTTCCGCCGCCATTTTATTCTTTGACAGAGAGATCGTTGGTTGAAACTGTTTGAAAATTTCACCGAATGTTATCGGCAGGAAATTTTCGGAGAGCTTCGTCGAAAAATTTCTCTGTAAAAAAATAAAATTTCAAAATTTATGCCAATTTTGAAACGTCGCATGGCGCTTGTGACACTCTAGTCGGAAGGTGACGATTTCTCCCCGCTGAAAACCCCTTATCGTCACCCTTTTGACGTAAGGGCGTATCTCAATATTCACGCGAGCCTTGTTTTACATACGGGCAACATCTTGCAATTAGGAATTACAATTTCTGGCCACAGAATTCTAGGACTCATTCGTCATGTGGCGTCAGACAATCGTAGGAGTTCACGGACGTGAAATCGGACGATCTTACGAAGAAAGCGCGGGGAGCCTCGGAGGGCAGAAAGCAAGGTTGTCAGGTCGGGCGATAAAATGCGGATATTTTACGTACACTGGAAAAAAAACATTGGATCTAGAGTCCAGACTTTTGAAAACATTGACAAGAAAAAATACTCTTGATTCAACCAGATTTTTGCTTAAATCAAAAGGAATTCCGCTAAAAAGAGGCTTGGTTCTTGATTTAAGCAAAAATCCGATTGAATCAACAGTATTCTTTCTTTTCGATGTTTTTAAGAGTCTGGACTCTAGATCCAATGTGTTTTAAAATAAATTTTCACCAATCATACACTTATCAGCTCTATAAAATTATCGGCTTTTTTCAAGTTTTCATAAATATTTCATGAGGATCAATGCTACTGACTCATCTTTTCAGTTTCTAAAGGGGTATAATCGTAATTCTTCAAAGGATAAAATACCCTCAAAAAAATCTCTGATGATCTTCTGATGAGGTCTAATAAGGCCCAAACCGGTAAAGATCTCTCGGCGTGACTCCAACTTGATATTCCATTGCAAACTGCCTGAGCTGAACACTCTCCCCCCTCAGTTTCGTACTGGTGCGCATTACAGTTCTAAAAATTTATTTACGACTCTAATTTTAATTTTTGGTATTTCTTGGCTTTGTTTCCCCGCGAAATGGTGTGGACCCAGCACCATTTTTCCACCTTGTTATCCTCAATAAATTAACGTCGAAAAACGGAAAAAGAAAGGAAAAGAAGGTTTTTTCCAGTGTAGCAATGAATGGAAAAAATGACGACTTTTCAGCACTATCTGGCATAATTGGTTTCAAAGGGCGAAGATTACATGAACTTGACCGCGATGACAAACAGCGATGCTGCATACGTTATTACGACTGAGCTGGAGCGTATTCGTATTCAAATTCATCAGATCCGTGATCCCGCGACGGATGCGAATATCGTCCTCTGCTTTTACGAGGGCGCGCAAATTACTTGTGAAAAATAGAACTTCTTTACGACTCCAGCGCGCAATATGGAAGTCAGTCACCAGTGCACTTATTTGAGAAATGTTCTCGGGATGCGCTCGCATGTCGGTCCGGAGATACAGCTTTCGGAATTTTCCGGCGCATCTTCTTGGAGACGCTGCCACGCCGAGGAAAAAAGTCGTATGAGTAAACGTAAAAACACGTAATATTACAAAATGTTGGTCAGGGCATTTCGTCAACGATTTTTTTCTGTGCACTTGTTTTTTTGGCAGGGGAGTTTTGTAGAGTACCTTCATAGACAGAGTATGGCCATTCGTATATTTTTACCGCAGGAAAACTGTGCCGCTTTTTGATTGGTCAACGAGTTTTTAGGCTTCATGATACTCTCTTACTGCCGTAAATAAACAAGCAAGATGGCGACTCACTGTGACATTGATAAGAAGATAAAATTTGAATTTCGTATGATACTGTGCAACACCTCTGTTGTGAAATAGTTGCTTGAGGTGCCGTGGCACGCTGCGGCGCGGCAGGCGCTAAACGCGCATTGGCGCCTACAAACCTAACAGGATACTTCAAGCATCGCGTAACGCGTGAAGTATCTCTGTTAGGTTTGTAGGCGCCAGTGCGCGTTTCGTGCTGGCAGCTCACCGCTCCGCTCTGTTTGGCTCTAATATGTAAACTCGCGAAATCAGTGTTTTTCAACTCATGGTTTTGAAATGTTGGCACACTCTGCATTGATTATTCTCATTTTTTATGAAATAAAAAAAAAAATATGTATTAAAGGAAAATATAATGTGTGTTTTGTAAATATTAAGGTAGCTTCGTGTCAAATGTAATGATTTCCAAAGCGCTTCAATTTTTTCTTTTACATTTTGTGCTTTTACTGTGCTGCAGCGTGGTGTGTGCGCAACCAATTGCCGAGTTCACATTTTTCCAAAACTCATAATGCTCGATTACAAAAACCTGATCATCGTGCTTCCTATTTCTAAAAATTGTACTCAATGTTGTATTGTAACAATTGCATCCAATTTCCTTTCGATATTCGTACATTTTTCTCTCTTCGATCTTGAATCAAGCTTTTCGCCATGTTTTAACGTTCAATTCAATGCGTCATTCATACTAGGACACCTACGTTTTACATGTCATTTATTCTTGTTTTCTTGCTTAATTTCAGGAGGACTCAAATCCCCAAATGGTGAGATCATCCTCACTTCTGTGATGAGAATGCAGATTTGAAACGAGAGGTTTTTCAAAATATTTGGAAACCTGGGCGTAAAAAAATTGCGCAGCCTTTAACGAAAGGAAAGATATTTTTAAGTGAGGTATTTTTTGAAAAGAAAAATAATCTTTCTTTTTTTAAAATATTTGTTTTGTACAGATGCAGTCAGGCACGGTATTGATGTTAACTTACAAAATTTCCCCGTATCTTTCATCTTTTGTACTTTTCTCTGATTCTCTATGATACTTTTTAATTATTCTGAGGCTCAAAACATAAAATCTCACTTCTCCATTTTTAGCCATCTCCAGTTTCAGTATTGTAATGAAAAAGTTGAATATATATGTTTGATGGTTGAATGTTGACTTACAAAGTATTTGATCTCATTACACTAGCTCAGCTATGACAGCAAGATTTATCATTCTTTTTCCTCGGCTAATTTTGAGATGAATTTCCTAGATGTCATTATCTGGTATGAAAAACGCTTTACATCAGCGCCTAAAAATCTTTACAAAGTGATGTGATTTTAAGAATTGTTTGGAAAAGTTAAGTCAGAAATGATCAACTCTGCGACCAACGATTGCGAAGTTTTCAAATATGCCATAAAACTTAGTAGTCTTGAACGATAAAATGTATCTGATTATCGGATGTTCACATGTAGTAAGATCATCAGGATAAACAGTACTAACAAATGAAAAGACAACTAAAGTCCATGTACACTGAACAAAAATGTTAGCTGGCATGTCGTTAGCAGAGTAGGAGTACACGAAAAGGCAGAAAAAACAAATTGTTTGACTATTGCTCACTTTCTGAATTTTCTTCGGAGAAGCACTAAGCTTACGTAGTTTTTACTATTTTTGGTGATGTCTGTATTTTTCTAATGAGTTTGATTCTGGAACGATGAAATTTATAACATTTTCTTTTGAAAAGAAACATTGAATCTGCAAGGTATCGACTCAGCTGTCATGCTTTATTTATTCCCCAGAGCAAGAATACAAGAATGCCCATGAATAGTTTCAAACTACAAGTTATTAGAATTAATGGAACATTTTTTTACGTTGACTAGGCAAAATAAATTTTTTATCCTTGTTGTAAATAATGTTTTTAATGCTTGAGATTTTTGTTACTCTATCGATTCTTAGATGTTGATCAATTGTATATTTTATGGAATTATTAGTAGATTATTAAATGCTATTGTAGATTGTTTACAATAAAACTTTGTAAAAGTCATGAATGTTGAAATCATTTTCATGCATTTCGTAATTTATGCATTTTTGCTCATCGAGAAAAAAGTGCTCTGTTTACATTGAACGGCGTTCCAATTGGACAGAGACAGTGTATAATACAGTGAAACGGCACATAGGCCAGCAGGTAGGCATGTACATCCACGGTGGCACCATCTTCTATTGTCCACGTTTTTCCACCATATCTTGTCTCAAATAATTTTATATAGAGTCCCCTTAACGACTAACGGTGGTGTGATAACCGATTCAAGTATGCAAATTGGGAAACTAGCAGATGAGCTACCGACAAGGCGGGCCAAAAAATTCACTTTCTTTAGTGAATTCAAATTTAAATTTACATTGTACAATGATTGGACCGCGTTTAGCAGAAAAAATCCAAGCCACATCAGCCACTGCCAAATTTAATCGGGCAATTTAATTTTTTTCTCCTCCTATCTATCCAAAATTTCATTGGATCAGTTTTTCACACTAAAATAAAATGATGCATTTAAAAAATAATTGAAAAAAGTTTTCAAAAAGTTTTTATTCTGCAAAAAATGAACAAATCCAACTCCGCGTGGTATATAAGGAAATCCGTTTTTCAATGGGAAATTATCAATGCTCAAAAAATGTTTTATAGTTACTATAAAACTTAGGGTCCTATAGATTTATTTCCTATTTCGGAATTTAAAATAAGAAACATTTCTCCTTGCTGAAAGATTAATTTTAAAAGTGTACGTTGTCTATACACAAAAATGGGTTTGCGTAAAAATTTGGTGGAATGCATGGTTTCACCCGCGACTGCCTCAATATATGACGAGCTTATGAACTACGATAGATAATTGGACGTTTCTAATCAAACGAAATAATCTATTTATACAGGCCTGAAAAACAAATATCCAAAAATCTAGAATACTTTTACGCCTTTTTTCCAAAAATCTAATTCAAATGGATTCCATCTCTTAAACAAGTTTAATTGATGTACGTTTACATAGTTATTCAGACTGCATTTTGCAAAAAAGATCGACTAATTTTTCTGTTCGTGAGTCCTACGTGTTCTTTGACTAGTCTTGCCTGCTGGAGGCCTCTATTATCTTGCAGAAGAAACTAGAAAATTAACAGTCTCTAGTTGTACACTAAATTGCAACTGAAAGAGAAAATTACTGTGTTGGCTGATCATTTATTGGCCTTCAGTTAATTAAATAAACCGCATTATCCAGAATCCAGTTAATTAGATGTTGCCTAACTCCCCGTCCAACGTGTTTGTTTCTTCTTTTTTACATTTTTTCGTGCGAGACGATTGATTGTTCCTTGGAACTTTGTGATTTTATGATTTAACTCTACGAAAAATTCATGAACATATTGAAGGCGTTATGTTCTTTAGTTCTCCAGCAGGAAAGTAAAACATGCAGTGGCGTGGCGTGAATGATCGATTATCGATATTTGTCCATTTGAAGCTATGGTAAAGAATCGATTATTAAGGTGTTTGTTGCGAACACCCTGTTCATTGATCCTTTTCCATAGGTTTGAATGGCAGATCTATCCATATATCGCAAAGTACGCCACGCCACTGAAAACATGGGAGAAAATCACTCAACGATACAAATTCAGTTACCTAAGTAGCACAATGCAACGAACATATTGAGATATATTTGACATTTAATGACGAACACTTTCAAATTGTTTTACCATTACATTATTTTCATAGAGTTTGGTGAATAAATGCCAATTTAAAATGGTTATTAAAATGATTTCCTCTTCTCGAAATCAGGCACTTTGTAACGCGAGAATAAAAAAGTGCACATCTTTTCAATTGAATCATTTGTTTTCAAAAGGGAACAGGTCCATTCCTCGATGGGTCTTACTTAGCATGTTATCCTTTTATGCAAGTCAACTCATGCAAAAATGGACTCTATACCATTTTAAAAAAACCGACTCAATTATATTGCAATTAGCTTCGATAAGATGAACTCCTTCAATTTGACGATAGGCAACATATGTTACCTCAATGCAGTAGTGAGACTTACTTTTCGAAAGCAATTCATTCGATTACATTTTGCAATAAGGAACCACTATCTCTGGCTCTTCTGTAAAAACACCTTTCTGCATAGGGAAACCGATGGCATATATGTTGTTTCTATAATGAGTTAAAAATAGTGGTTCCTCATTGCAAAATGTGGTCCAATTTCAACCTATTTGGATGGATTCTAATCAAATCTGTCCGATTGTAAACATGAAAGTTGCACGATCTTGGCAACATTGCAATACTGTTACTTCACTTTTCGCAAAATGCAGTCGATTTAATCGGTTCCAGTACTTTGGCGGCTATTTCTTCTTGACGTTAGCGCTGACCCACTCAATTCCATCTTTGATCCCTTCGCCAACGATGGCCGAACACGCCTGGATCTGCCAGGGTCTGTCCCTGATCATGTGTAAGCTGAGTCCTTGGGCGATCTCCGCCGCGGAACTTGCGTGGAGCAGGTCCTGTTTATTGGCGAAGATCAGCAGCGGAACTTCTGCCAGTTTCTCGTCAGCCAGTAGTTCCGCCAGCTCGTATCCAGTCTCTTCCAGGCGTTTCTGATCGGCGCTGTCTATCACGTATATCTATAGATAAAAATGGGGAAGAATTAGTAAATTACGACCAGAATATTGTAAGTAACGGAATGAGAGTATGGTGCTAGGTCTACATCAATCGTTGCCAAAACATTTAGGAAAACAAATTCGCTATGACAATTTAGGGGCTTGGAAGGCAAGGCGCATCCGTGCAGTTCTTGCTATTTCGAGAAATACGTGTTTGAAGTTTCGAAATTACATGGATCCTCATGGTGGAAAAAAAAGTTCAAACTGACTTTTTTATGCTTAAAAATTGTAATTTAGGAGCGAGTTTTTGACAAAATATGCATCAAAACTAGTTTTACTTGAAATAAAAAATATCTCAATTTTTTTTTCAAAAACTGCACGTATGCGCCTTGCCCTTCAAGCCTCTCAATTCTGATGAATGTTGGTAAACTTACTTGACATTAAAGGATATGCGGTATGGGTGAGATTTTCTTCTTTTTTCAATAAAACCCAAGGCGGATAAAGAATGGTGGTCGCATTTCGATTTTGGCTGCCATCTTGAAGCGTTGTGACGTCAGGAGGGTACGGGTTATGCCGTGCAATCCGAGGTTGAGTCGGCCCCCCCGGCCTCGGCCAGCCCATGTACCCGATGTACCCGATACCGTGTGACGTCCAGAGGGTACGAAATGCGACCACCATTCTTTATCCGCCTTGAATAAAACCGAAATTTTCTATAAGTCTTGTAATTTTTTTTCTTTAAAAATTTCCGGGAAGCATTCCTGATCTTATCTATGTTCCTTATTTAAGTCCATAGAAGAATGTTTAACTCTTCCCTCAGAAATACTTTCCTCTCTGAAAGAAATTCGGGGACATTCGAATGTGCATATACGGTGTCTTTCCCAAGGATGGCATCATATCTGTAGGTCCTACCAAAACCGCGTTTTCCTGATTCTAATGTGCTAAGCAAAAATGTCGTTTGAGCATTCCAATGTCTCAAAGTCTATATCCTGATTAAATTCGATTTTGCCGGAAAATGTGCTCTTATTTTCCGTAACTTCCAGGAAATTTCATTTAATCCAGGTTACCAAAAAATGTCAAGGGAACGTACAAAAACATTGATTGCCAATAAATATTTCAGCGGGAGCGATTCAGCAACATTCGAATGTGCATACGGCGTTTTTCCATTGAGCGGGGGCATTAGTGAGGCATTAGGGACACAAATAGGTGCGCTCGTCCCTGCAAATGGGAGCGGCGCTTCATTAAAAACAAACGATGCAGGAATTAGGGACGTGACGTCGTGGTTGACAGACGACCCCTGAAATCGCCACTTTTGCGGGCTCGCCCTGCGTTCATCCCGCCGGTTTCGCAAGGGGGGCGGACACCCCCTCCTGGGGGGGGGGGGGGCAGTTTAGACACTCGGATAAATTACTCCCGCTGCGCTCCTGGTTCATTCATGGAAGCGCACGATCCACCTATGCCAGTGACGTGGCGTGCTTTGCGATACATCGATTGATCTGTCATTTAAACCTATGGAAAATTATCGATAAAAAGGGCGTATGCAACGAGCACCTTAATAATCGATTCTTTACCATGACTTCAAATGGAGTAATATCGTTAATCGATCATTCACCCCTCGCCAGCGCCCCAGACCTATGTCTGAATTGGGCCGCGTTAAGCAGAAAGGAACCAAGCCACATGAGGCATTGCTAAATTTAACGAGGCAATATAATGTTTCACAGAAGAACGGCTGCGCGGATAATTGTGACAATTTCCATGAATTTTCTGCATAATACAAAGCAAATTCCTTAAAATTTCCTAAGGAACCCGCCTAAACGTTCTCTCATAAAAAATTAAGTTGCCTCGATAAAGTTGGCAATAACTGATATGACTTGTTCCTTCCTGCTAAACGCGGTCCAATTGGCCCTTCTGCCACCATCTTACGTCCATGGAACCGCTTATAACATGAAGACCGTTCACGCACTAAAACTCAAACGGTTCGAATCGATCACAGTTCAGTCACATCTCAGTTAAAACCGTATTCATAGTTGTTTCTTACGCAGCTCCTTTCATTAGTAAGTAATGAAATAAAGCTCGATTTTTCAAAAAATTGTTGGGTTCAGAGAAAACGGAGGTCATTTGTGGATGTAGTATGCAAAATTCATACAACATACATAAACTGATTGCGGTAGACGCACGGGTCATAAGAGAGTAAGTTGGAAAATTTTAGCCAACGTGCGGTAAAAATCAGCATAAAGCTGTATCAAACAGCGTATCTCTGTAAGAGAGAATTGTGCTCAAATGAGTTTTTGCGATTTTCAGCTTTATGCTGATTTTTAACGCACGTTGGCTAAAAAATTCCGACTCACAAAATCCATCCATCAGATGACCGGTATTTTCAACGGTGCAGATTCGTGGCTAGTGTGTAGGAAATGAGACTCAGTTTGACAAACTCGCTTCGCAAACCACTGAGCTGGATTCTCAACACTAGGTAATCCTCCACTCTTAATGGGTTTACATTTCAAGGACAGCGCGGTGAAGGGGAGAGGGGCTCGTAATTTCGTCAAGCGGTTAAAGAGGGGCGACGCTTTCCCGAAGATGTCCTCCGTATTATAGAGTCATCGTGTAAATAATTCTTCGCCCTGAATTTCTGACGGGGGAACAGGAAACTGAACCAACGACTTACTAAGAAAGTTACTCAACGAGGTGAACCTGTGCGTCATGTGGAAGATCCCACGATTCGGAGAAACCCAAAGCTCAGTGAAATTTAACACAAAAACTTATGAAAGTAAAGTTCCGCGAACCGTGGACGGAATCGGCTCAGGGAGGACATGGGTTAAATTTAAGACCAGGTTGTTATTTATTGGCTTTCTATGTTTGCTAAGTATTTCCAGAACGCTTCGCTGGGCTTGGGAGCGTTTTGAAAGCGCCTCAATGCCCGAATTTAGGCCTTCATTCTACATCACAGAATATCATCTCAAGTTTCACATTTAGGGCGGAAAAAAGATTAAAGGCCCCGTGGACTGCGTTGCAAGATTGATTTGTGAGAAAATCACTGGCCATGCCTCATTTCCTTCAATATCTTCGAATGATGCATCCTTTACTGCCTTTCTGAGAAAAAGCGCCATGTGAGTCTGTGTACGTTGTCAAATTTCCTTTGGAAAACACAAGTTTTTTAAAAAAAAAAGCTTGAGAAAATGTTTTTCTCAATTTTTTTATAGATTTTTTTTTCGCTATTTGATCTAGAGTATCCGAAGATCTAAAAGAAGAATATTCATAACTGGTTTTGAAAATGAATATTTTATTGAAGGAAATTCGGCAACACTCGAATGTTCACACGGCGTTTTTTCGCGGTGCAGAAAGTTTCTTACTTTACGTCTCAATTATGAAAAGTTGTTTAGTCTTTGTAGGCGCCTGGATACAACTGTTCGTGGTTTACGGACGCCTGGGTTGCATACACAAAATCTTGAAGGCGCTTCAGTTGTGCTTGCGCTTTCAACGGTATAACTTATTTCACACACCATTTCAAGTGACCGCAAATAAAAAGAGTAACAAAGAATGGAACAGTATGAAAAAGGGATGGAGAGGGGGCCGTCTTCTCTGGCTTTTCTTTCAACCTCAGTAGCATGGTGCCCTGTTCTTCGATTTGCTTCATCCTGAAATGGAACTATGTTATCAGATAGTGTCTTTCTCACTCACGTTTAACGTTCTTTCTTAGATTTTTTTTGCCTAGCAAGGCAGTTAACAACAAGACGATGTCGATATTCCCGAAACACGCATCTCAAATTGCAACTTTATAGCCCTTTTGGCATACCGTATTTTGCACATCATACCTTATACTCATTCTCATGTGATATATGGACTTAATTTTGTAATGAAGAACTATAATTTTTCTAATATATCCATAAAAAGTACTTATCTGCATAAGAAAACTAATGATATATACTTTTTTTCTAAAATGGGCCAGAAATAGAGGTTTTTTTTTATCACAAAATATGGTCCATGTATAAAGATCACCACGATCCGAGTCTGTTACACGTCGCACAGTGGATCGAGTCAGTAGGAGAGGTCGGACAAAATTTGGAAACTTTAAACGCTAGTAACTCCGTTTATACACAATTTTGAGGTTCTAAAAGCGGTTCCATTGGTTTTCTCGTGAAATTTTCTTCCAGTAACACCTCTTGAACTTTAAAATGTGACAAGATAAACATAAAAATTCGCAGTTTTTGTCAAAAATTTCATGCCCAACCTCTCTAATTGACTCGATCCACTGTCCGTCGATACAGCAGAGCACTAGCAGAACATAGGACGAAATTGCAATGAAAATTTACCAGCACATCGGTATGATCGAAGTAATTCCTCCAGTAGGGCCTGATTTTCCGCTGACCACCGATGTCCCAGACATTCAACTTGAACCCTTCGGACTGAACGGATTTTATGTTGAAACCTTGAGTCGGTGTGATGTGTGCCACATCCTCTGCTGCCAATTTCTTTAGTATCGTTGTCTTGCCGGCATTGTCCAGTCCCAAAAGTAAGATTCGTATCTCTTTTTCTGGCTGGGACTTCAATTTTCGGAGGATCGAAAGCAGACCCTGGAGATTTTAGAAAAAATATCTTCAGAATTGAATTCCAATGTGCATCTAGATTGAACATTTCTCCCATCATCAGGTAAGTTAAAAGTTTGATTTTTATTTTAAAAATGTTTTATTTTATTAATCACTTATGTGAGCTCGTAATTTATTACGAAACTTATGAGGTACATTGCGATAGTTTTTAGCCCACCATAGCTAACTGAGGTGAAGAGCCTGTATAAATCGTGCTGCACACAAAGTATTCTCAAAGGAATTCAATTAATATTTTAACTTGCCATGCTAAAGATGAACGTCAGATGAGTACTTTAAATTTGCCAAATTTTTCCGAATAAAACGCTCATTTTGCGAAAAGTAATGAATATTCCTCCTGCAGTTTTCAGTTCACTCGCAAATAGATATAATCTTTGAGAATTTCAGAGAAAAATGTCCACAGATTTTCCAGAAAAATTCATATCTCTTCAGAAGATATTTGGCAACGTTCAAGTGCTCATAGAACGTTTTTCTTTAGCGCGACGGTTTAACAAACGGGATGGAGATAAAAACATAATCCACTGTGTGAAACGTGGCTTAAAAGGATAACAGAGTGTGATTCGCCTTCACTTTGAACGGTTAGGCAACTATTTTGACGCTTGAGAGCTGTTCTTGCCTTACCGATTAAAACGAAGGCTAGTGATGCTCCACGCCGCAAAACTTAGTTTGAATTGGGTTATGAGCTGTGATTTGCCTTAATTTTGAACGAATGAACAGGTAGGCAACTATTCAAACATGTCCTAAGTAGCTTATCAGAAATGAAAAGATGCAATGTACTTTAGTTTTAGCTCAGTTAGACTTTGGAATTTTCAATGTGTTTTTAAAATTTAACGAAGAATTGAAAGTTAACGAGAATGAGCGAGAAGTTTTCTTTTGCAACGTCTAGACTGCAAATAAATACAGTTTTGTTCCACTGAGAGGTAAACATAGAGCTGAAATTACAGTGGTCTCGATCATCCACGATTTGGATATTCACGATTGATTGAAGGGGACTGATTTCTAAGTTGTATGACTTCAAGTATTTGATTTGAAGTAGGCATTTCTAATAAAAATTTTAGTACATATTTTTATACTATATTTAAAAAAAAAGAATAGACTTGACCATTTTTAACGAGCAGACCCATTTAAAAGATTCTATCAGGAAGATTCGATTTTTTTTCCCGCTTATTTTGGAGGACAGAGGTTTATGAAGGCCTCTTTACTCTAAAAATTTTACTACTTGGCTAATCGAGACCGCTGTGTAAATAAATACATAGGTCTCGATACACGATCAAATTCTCGAACCAATTACCATCCAAGTGCAGGAGTCATCAGTCCTAAAGCCGATAATTTGCTTTATTTTCAAAAGAAAACATGACTTAAATGCTCCGTGTGGCAAGAAAATGTTGAATGGAAGCACTCAATTTTGATCAAAGAAGGTTGTCACATGGTGACCAACAGTCATGAAAATGGTCTACTTCGGTTGGATAAGTGGTTCGGAATTCGATCGTCTATCGAGACTTCATAAAAAAAATATACTTGACCATGTTTCTGGTGGAGTCTCAGTTAGTTCGCCTCGCCGCCGGAAGGAAGCGGGAGCTGCGCGCCAACGCCGGCGCGGCGAAATCAGTCAAAGCGCGAAGATTCGATCGAACTATGATTTAATTTCAAAAATAAATTACTTCATCTCTCGAGAGAGGCGCCGGCATGGAGGCGCGCCGCCGGAATAAAATTATTACAAAACGAATTAAAAGAGCAGCCCGGATCGGATCGCCGGCGAATTCAAACGCACGTCCCGGTTTTTAAAGACGCGGAGCCTCGCCGGTTGCCTACCCGGCCGGCGGAGCCGCGCCGGTTGCCTACACGGCCGGCGCTCCTGCTTTGAAGTTGCCTACGCGGAGGCGATCGGGCGCTCCGCCGCGGGATAATCGGGTCGCTCAAATTACGTGCCTTTGTTTTAAAACGCTTCCGAGTTCTTGGGATGCAAATTGTGACGGCCTTTAATTGTATAACGTGATCAGGCCCGGTCTCTTTGAGCTTTTGTCGTCCGTTCTCGGTGGACGAGTTTCCTCCGGTTAGCCGACCCGTAACTTGATTACAATTCCGCGGGGAGCTCGGTGAGTGACGACGGAGTTTTTCGCTTGGTCGATTGGTGGCACCACTGCGACGAGTTCGTGAGCCTGATTATAGGGATGGGTCTTTTAAAAAGTTCGATCTTTGAGGTTGCTTCTCTTGAAGCTCGAAGGATGGGTTTTTTTCTCTTCTTGTCGAACTCGAATTCATCCCATCGTTAGCTCATGCACTTCACTTCGAGACCAGTACATTATACGTCGATAAAAAAAAAGGATTTCAATTCGGGGTTAAAGTTTCAGGAGGGCATCCTGCCTTCACCATAAGTAGACACAGGAAATCCAATGCTATATGCTTTTTGGCCGTTCAGTTCGTTTCACTCATAAATCTGTAGGAAATAACTCAGTTCCGGAGATATTTTAAAGGCAAAAATTGCTTTTAAAAAAAATCAAATCACAAGAATCCTTTAATTCAATTAAGATATCGCATAGAGAGAGAGCTGCGACTGTTTTCAAATTAAAGTCTGTGACAAATATATGAATAAAAGCCCTCTTTTCAGCTTGAAAACATCTGATATAAGTATTATTTCAAAAAACAAAATCCCGAATGAACTGCAATCGCGATTGAATGTAAGTGATTTTCATGGTAAAACGACTCGGGTAACGTGTAGAGAGCTGGAGTTGTTTTTGCACCAAACACTTTAACAAGTTCGTAAAAACCTGTTCGTTAATGCGGAAACATAGACACAACTATTTGAAGAACCATTGCGAGTGATGATCGAGCTATGAACTGCGATTGTGATTGAAAATCAGAGGTTTTTCCTGAAAGTGCCTGTTTAAAAACGTCAACACAGACCACCACTCGCGATACCAAACGATTCAAAAGTGAGTTTCGGAGCAGAATAACATTAAAAACACGATTTAGTTGAAAAAGTGGGAAAAATCACGCACAAAACTTCTGATTTGTCCGAACAGAGTGTTTGAGCACATGTCACCGAAGTAAAGGCCGCTTTATTTACGTGAAAGTTTGGTTGGTCACCGTGGCAACGGGTGGTGCCGTGCGTTGTGCTTCGCGAGACCACTTCCTTGTTCCGCGTCCCCTCATCCCAAGTCTCTACCCTTTATCCACATCGAAACAGCTGTTCTCGATCGATAAGCAGGTTACCAGATTGAAGAATTTCAATTTTTAAATTTGACGTATTCATGCTAAAAGGAACCATAAGCAAATGAAGTAAATAAAAATAACAATACAGAATGTGAAGCCTAAGCACATAGTTCCTTTTGAATTTATTCAGTCGCACATAGTTCCTCTTAGCATAAACTCAATATCCCAAGGCCCTAACAATATTGATAGGGATATTGCATCATTATCACAGGTCTGCAAAACAAATTCCTTTGAAAATCGCTGGGGATACGATGGTTGGCACTATATCGCACTAATGTACAATTTTCCGCGCTAAGTCCGAAAATGACCTAAGTTTCTCAGAGTTAAAACCAGGATGTACACATTAAGTTTTAATTCAAATATCCCGAATTGGAAAAATTGATCCCTCCAAAATGATATTCGATCACACGAAATACCGTGGACAAACGAAAACCCCTGCATTTAATTTATTATGCAAAAAGTCCATCATCGGATCACGAATAGTTGTATCGAAGTAATCCTCGGCGCGTGTTTAGAAGATTTGCTCAAAGAAGTTCAGGTTCGTTTTTACAGATTTATTTACGGCCTGTTTTCTCTAATTTCGGATTGATTTGTTAAAATGTTGTGTATTCTAGAGTAAAAAAAAAATAAAATAAAAATTACTGACTCAAAGAGTTTTTATCTGTACGAAATATTGAAATAAGTTACCATAATTTTCAGTTTTTCTTATCTATCATAGCGAGATTCAAACTCTCTGTAGATAGCTTTAATATTTAAGTTAAAGTTTCTCTCGTAAATCTTTCCGTTTTTAAGAATTTAATTCATCATATCGCATGAGCGTGATTTCGCTTCGAGGCCCGGCATTTCCAACTGCGCACTCATCGAGAATGGCCTGTGTAGGTATTTTTGGAATCTCGCTAACTATAGCGCCCGCTAAAAAAGCCCTCGGTCGTTTCGTGGAATAAATGTTAATTTCCACTTTTATATCCCCGGCCGAGATCGGCGCCTCGTTCATTTTTCAGCGCTTAAAATTTTATTTTTCATCGCGGTGCGACCTGCCGCTGGCTATCCGAATTTAATATCTCCATAGGTGGGGAGTGGGGGGTGGGGGCTGCGGCACGTCGCACAAACGTCGTATTAAAATTAAATCTTCACGTTGGGAGATTAACGGAATGAGTCACTGGGGGCTCCAGCCTGAGGCATCCTAAACCGTTTTAGCCGATTAGCTGATTGTGGTACCCCCTCCAACCCCCCTCCAACCCCCCTCCAACCCCCCTCTCACCACTAGTCATCATCCCCTTCTGAAGCGACTCGCTCAGGTCTGCTTTCATTTCTTTCTGAAAGGGTGCAACCCGAAACCTCTCTCGCAGCCCGTTCTGCCATGCTAATGAAAAACGCCTTATGAACCTTCTTGTATTGCCAAATTTATTTCGGTAAAATACGAAATTTCAGGAAAACTTGTAACAATTTTCCGTCGAATTTTTTAGAGAATTTTCCTTGTGATATAATCCGAGCGAACAGAAAATTTCAAGCAGAAATATCCGTTAATCGTCTCAAAAACGAAAATTTTAGGAGAGGAAATTTGGCAACTCTCGGATGTTCATACGGCGTTTTTCCTTGGCACGGCAACCAGCGTTCGAGTCGTCAAAGTCGGGAAGAGATTCGAGCTTTTCAATTTTCATTGAAAAGCTCGCAATTTACGTGGAATCGTCTATTACTCGGGAATTTAATCTCGATTTCAAGCCAAAGTTGTTCTTAATGGAATTGCTTGCTTATTGGCTAGGAGATAAAATTACGCCTTTTCAGAGTGATGGGTTTAATTCTTGAAAACATTAACCTGTACGATGAGAGATTAAATTTAATAACTTAAATTTTGAATCTATCTAGATTGAATTTAAATCTCGCTATATTTGATTTTCAAGTTAAAAACTATGGAATTTATTTTCAATTAATTATACTGAAAAATCAGTCAATAAAATGAACTCCTTCAATTGGTAAATAGCCAACCTCCACAAAACTTTGCGTCCCTCAGAATGTTGCACCCTTAGGCTTTATACAATTGATGGCTAAAAACGAGACCACGTATCTCCGTTTGCGACGTTGCAGACCTCCGGTCGTGCTTTATTTTTTTCCTAGAAAAACTAGTTTACGTAACTTCATGGAAAGTTCCCTGATTTTTCTTCTCTGTTGGTAGAATATTCTGTATAAAGTTCAAGCTATAAAGTTAACTTTTTTCTTTTCGAAAAAATAAACTAGGAGCGTATATTTTGAAACACCACAATGGGACCAAGTCCATCAGAGAGGAAGCAACTCACATCAAGTCGAAAGTGAGAAAAAGAGGTTTAAAGTTATATTCCTGTATGAGACTCAATGCAGAAAATAAAATTTGATCCCTTTCTTCACAAAACTAATTCCTTTTTTGCAACTTTCAGTTTTTGGCAGGAGAAAATATTCGGATAGGGGAACTCAAAAACTTTCTTAACTCAATTTTTTATCCGAAAATAAGGGTTGGAAAAAACTTGTGATACTGTGCAACACCTCTGATGCGAAATAGTTGCTTGAGGCGCCGCGCCGAGCGACAAGCGCCTCGGTGCCTTCAAACCTAACAGGGATACTTCACGCATTGCGCAATGCGTGAAATATCCCTGTTAGGTTTGCAGGCGCCAATACGCGCGTAGCGCTGATCGCCAGGCGCGGCGCGGCGTGCCTCGGCGCTCCAAGCAACTATTTCACATCAGAGGTGTTGAACACGGTCACACGAAAATGAAAGGGCAAGAATTATTATTTTTCTTTTGCGAAAGTAAAACATTTCCCGAGATTTTTAAACGTTGTAAATTGAGATACGTTTCTTTCTACTTGAACCAAAGACATAAAGACGGAGCACTAAAAGCAAAAAATGAAGCTTCTAGAGCTTCTTTTCAATCACCTCTACTATTGGCTAGAGGATTGGCGGCGAAATCGGGACAAGTTTGAATTCAAATGTAGGGCGGGAACTAATAAATAAAATTGCGGAAACAAAGTATTTTAGGTTGATTTTTGCCCTAATTCAGGTACACACTCATATTTTTTTAACTTTAGGTTAGTTTCAGTCCGTCGTCGACCGATTAATTTCATTTGGGAGTAACGTTGATCTAGAACTGTAACGGCCTGTTTGAACCTGCAGAACCACCATGAGCAGAAGAAAAACTAACTTTATCTGAGATTACTGCCTGTTACCGAGCAAAAGTAGGTGTATTATATTAGGACGCAGACCGAACTTTCTTAGTATATTCGTTTTAGGAATTTAAAATGCGTTTCAAAGAAGAAATGTGCAAAAATCAAGAGGACAAGTTCAAATCAAATTTCCGTTTGCCGCCATGGATTCCCGCGCTCATTTACACACTCACACAAGCGCGCAGCGCCGAACCTAGCTTCACTTTTCCCCCGTGCTTTTAGATACGAGCGCTCCGTCTTTATGTCTTTGACTTGAACCATCAAATGGATTGCATTTTGCAAAAAGGAACCACTAGCATTGCAATGATGCTAAGATTGTGTAACTTTATCTTTTGCAATAAAATTGCGGAAACCGTGAAAAACTATGAAATTTAGATGGTAATTTGTGTCTTAAATTCACTGTTTTTAGCGAGTAAAATAGAAACTATTAATGGATAATCGGGGTTTTCCTCCGAGACAAAAGAAGTTGCACAATCTTAGCAACATTGCAATGCTAGTGGTTCCTTTTTGCAAAATGCAATCCAAATATCCTCCCTTATTCTTTTGGTTCCTTTCTGATAAACTCGGTCCAATGGATGTACGTGGTTTTGCACTTCCGTCATAGATATAGCCTATACATATAACCTAACTTTAAAGCCGGCCCTGCACCTTTCCGCGGATCCTCATCGCTGCAGTTCCGTCACCGGTCAAATCCCGTTCGGCGATCATCACTCACTCGGGGCAACTCCGGACTCAATGGCGCGAGACAAGTGCTAGACCAGCGATTAGCCCAGATTCAAGCGCGGCTCGTCTGCCGATTCGCGGGGGAATCCTCGACTTCCTATAATTTTTCCGAAGCTCTCGAGGCGAGGAAATCCAGGCCTTGCAGCCTGCAACTTCGCTACAGGTCCTAGACTATCTTTCACCCGCCTCCGCCGCTAGCGACGCCGAGGTCCGAGCTTATCGACTGTCGAACCGCAGCCGCTTGAGTGATTGATTTCGCCCCTTTCAAAACGGCAACAACACTGTTTAATCTGCGGCGTCGATGGGATGATGCTCTCCACGCACAGTGGATCGGATCAATCAGTGCTCTCATTCCATGTTCGTCAAAAGTTCTGGAATTTGGAACTTTTTTGTTCCAAATCTCCATGACCGTCAAAAGTTCCAGGATTCTTTTCAGATTTTTTCAGAAGTCCCGAGAAAGTTCCGGAAAATGCAAAAGATCCGGCAAATTTCGGGAACTTCTAAAGTTCCGGGAAGAATTCAGAAATATCTTTAAAGTTCCGGAATTCGGTACAAGTTCCGGGAAATGGGAGCACTGGGGTCAAAAGGAGAGGTTGGACAAAATTTGAGGGGCTTGAAGGACAAGGTAGTTTTTGCTCTTTTGAGAAATACGTGTTTGAAGTTATTTCGAAAATACACGGATCTTTTTGGCGGAAAGAAAGTTAAAATTGACTTTTTGATGCTTAAAAACTGGCATTTGGGAGCAAATTTATCACAGAATATGCATTGAGATTAGTTGTACTTGAAATCATTACTATCTCAAAATCTTTAAGAACTGCACTTATGCGCCTCGCCTTGTCCAAGCCCCTCATTTGTAAACTTCAAAAGCTTATCACCGGTGAAACTGCAAAAATGCGTGTTTCGGTTGCGGCGTTTGCACGGAGAAAAAAACCTCGTGCGTGGGACCCGAAGTTTAGGTCATATGGATCTCTGAAGTTTTCGGATTGAGCATCTGAACACTTTAGGTCTAGCTGTCGAGGTTC